TGGATTTTCCTGATATTACCCACCTTTTCCTCCCCCTCAAATAATAACCACACAATAGGTTTTCTGGAAAAGTTAAAATAAAATTTACTCACTCAGTCTACATCTTCAAGAACAGCAGTTACAGCAGCAAAATGTAGGCAGGCTTAAAATGCTATTTAAGTTACTAAGAGACATTAAAGTCTAGCTTAGATATGGAGTCTGAGCTGGAGGTTACAGGTATTATAAGAAAAAAAGGTGTGCCCAGGAAGGGAGGAGCATACTAAGTTATGCCTCTTCCTGTCAGGACACAAAAGGGAAGTGATCTCACAGTCCTCTCTAGTAAGAACCGAAAGAAAACTCTATGAGCTTCAGCCCCTATTATGTGCCTAGCTAGAAAAACATGATTTTTTGATTTGACGGCTATAAATATCCTGCAGTAATTAATACAAGAACCTTGAACCTGGCCCAGTAATATAAGGATAGCCAGTGCAAGCTTTTAAGCACTAGAGTCATGTGCTGGTGGTAGTTTGGCCCTACCAGCAATACAGCTGCAGCAGACTGGGCCCAATGTTGACTCCACAGAGAGCATTGCAATAATCGAAGTCTTAAAGTTACCAATGCCTTGTGGCCAGGGCAAGCTATCCATGTCCAAGAATGACTGAAAGTATCATTTCACAGTTTAATCTGAAACATGTTTACTCTGACATAAATCCTACTGATTTAAATGGGACCTACTCCCAAATTAAATATGTTTAGGATTGCAGGTTTCTGTTATTTAATCTGAGACAGAGAACCCCCTCCCCAATCCCTGATAACGTCTAGCAATCCAAACTATGTCATTACATGTGTAATGCAGAGTTTTGCAATACCATGTCCTTTTATTGGATGCAATTTGCAGGGACAAATAAACTTCAATGACAATGTGAGTTGACTCATATTGGGATTACTAGAAGTTACTGGGGAAGACAGAGGGCACGGTGGCTGCTAATATTGACTGCACCTCTTATGTAATATCTAATTACAGCCATATTTAGCTACACAGCCAAATTTACAGTTTCTTCTACAGAAATTAGCAATGACATGTTATTGTCTATAAGTATATATCCTCCCTATACTCCTCTATATATTTTCTATGGTGAAACACAGGATGCTTGCTTAGTGGTTTGCAGCAAGATGCGTTTTATTAATAAGTAGCAGCATTGCCAGTTGTGCTTGTTATTGGCTTTAATGTGCATTGTAGCTTTGTGTATTTTGTCTGCCTGTTATGCACAGGAATTCAAGCCCATTGGTACAGCTCACAACAGAAGGGCCCAGCCTTTTGTTGCAGCAGCAAACCTCGATAACAAAAGACAGGTGGTGAGCTCTGCCTATAACTCTCCCATTGGGCTGTATTCATCTGGCAATATACATGATGCTCTTCATGGACAGCTACGGGGCCTTATCCCCAATTCACCTGCAAAGTAAGTAAGATGCTCTAAGATGGTCTTTTGCTGCAACATCTGTTTAACTGGCTTCATGGTCTCAAGTCCAGCTCTTGCTATTCTTTTTTCTTTCTTTCCTGATGCTCAAAATATACAAAATGTTATTCAAAAAATTTACCTCTAAAATGAATCTTCAAATAAGCAAGACCAATATTATAGACATTTCTCTTTCAGGGGGTTGGCTACACAAGACATTATTATTATTACGCACATTCCAGCCAAAGCTAAATACTGAAGGCACATCCTATGTGCATGCACACACAAGATGCACACAGGAGCAAGCCCCATTGGTTTGACTTACTTCTGAGTAAACATGGATAGGATCAGACTGCAAGTCTTATTGATTGCAACAGGCAATATATATATATAAATGGTGTGCAGCTTCATCCTATGTGTACACATATGTAAGTCCCACTGTGTTCAATGGGACATATTCCAAAGTACATGAGTTTAGGCTTGTAGCCTAAAAAGTTAACTTTGGCTTGATTGTTCCTATTGTTCTCTTTTTCTCACAATAACATCAGATGTATTAATGTTACTACTATATAACTTACAACTCAATAATTTACAACATGTATGTTAACTAATCTTTTCTGGAAGCAAATATGCTTGCTTAAGTTAAAAACAACAACCCTGTATTTCCTTTTCTTCTTCTTCTCCAGGACTTGGGCTACTTTGAACACAAGCATAACATTCGGCCCAAACCTTTCATAGTCTCTGGCCCGAGCAGGTTATAACTTCTCTGTGTAATCTGTAACTGGGTGCATGGTGTTTGGTTTTTTAATGAAAACAGTAACAATGCTATTTCAGTATGTTGTAAAGCCTTCTAATGAATAAATGCTTGCTTTGCAGCACCTATAAATCTGAGATCAAATGCCATCAAATGCCAAAAGACACACCTGTTTCATTTGTCATGGAGAATAGTAGTGAAAGGGCACACTTTTTGTGCAGTTATTGATCAAAGTCACAACAATCTGCCAAGCAGTAATGTGCCTGCAATCAGGTTAATTTCAACTGAACCTACATCAGAGAATTGTTTGGTGCATTACAGAGATCAAAACTGAAATATCACACGTAACATTACTTACAGGGCTTTAAAATATGTAGTAACGTACATACAAACAAACTACAACAACACTATGATGTTGGGCTAGAAGGGAGAATGAGAAAGGAGGGAAGGACCTCATATGGAACCTCCACAGGCTAAGGCTACCCAGTGTACATCCAAGGACGCCAGTGGATAAGAACAAGATGGCACTCTGATGAAATAGAGCAGGGATAGTTTGATAGGGATGTTTCTGTCCTTTATGGAATGCTTAATGATCATTCTTATACAATTCTTCAATGGAGGATGTTACTTGAGGGTTGAAAATGGAGAGCTACATAAGTTTATGTCCTGCACGGAGCTGACCATTTTGCAGTTAATGTGTCATTAACAAATTACACATTGATACTCTCAATTTCTATTTCATAGGCAAATGATACTATTTTGTTTATTTGGTTAGATTGTTTTGCACATCGCCTTTCATCTGAAAATCTTAGGGGTGGGTAGCAGTTAAATTCAGTAAAATACAGTTCACATCCATACATACCATTAAAAACACAATAAAAGCAAAATAAGTTACTAAATGTCAGTGACCATTCCCTCAAGTCTAAATAAAAAAGCTATGTTTTGAGCTTTTTAGAGTAAGTGCCAACTGAATTCCAAGGGACAGGGAGTTTCAAAGCCAGGGTGCCACCACAGAAGCTGGCATGCACATCACCACTCCTAGTGCTGAAGCACTAATTGCGGGGCAGGGGGTGGTGCACAATTCGACTGCTGGGCAGAAGTCCAGGAGACCAACATCAGGTGGAGCGAGATATGATGACAGGTGGAACCACCTTCTGACTTTTTGTAGGCAAGAAGGCAGGCAGAGTGCCTCACTTGTAGTTTTATAAAACATTTAATGTGTCAACACGAATAGAAGTTATTAATATTGCAGTTGCTGTATAAGGGATTATTATTATGACCAGAATGCAATTGAAATTAATAAGATTTTGGAACGCAGAAATAAAGAAAATCATCAAACCATCAATTCTAGCATGCGGGGGGCCACCTTATCTAAATTATATAATTTGGTATTTGAACGATTGGTGTTGGTAATTGTAGTATAAATTGGTATTGCTATAGCGAGGCTATTATTAGATTGTAATTGAAAACTAATAAAAATTATTATCAAGGCAGGCAGGCAGAGGAAGACTGGCTGAGATCAGTCTGAGGTTGTTGGGGCAGTACCCTGTATGCCCTAGGACCAGCGCCAACAGGCAATAGCTAAGGCCTCCCTCACCAATCTCCCAAGTTGTGTTGTAAGAATAAGTTGTGTTGTGTTGCAGAGTATATAGTTCCATGCTGAGCATAATTTTTGAGTTTACATAGCAACATAAAATATCAGCTGGTGGGCGTCTGAAATATTTTGCTAAATAGAATAGAATAGAATAGATTCTTTATTGTCATTACACAAGTGCAACATTGCACAAAGTGCAACGAAATTGGATGCCATCCCTTAAAACAACAAAAGCAAAACAACAACAACAACCAAACAAACCACATTCCAGCCACACCCACACCAACACCCATCAAACTCCCAGGTCACACTATCGAGTTACAGCATTCAAAAAGGCCACAGCTCTTGGATAGAAACTGTTTTTCAGTCTATTTGTCTTTGACTTGATGTTTCTATATCTCCTGCCAGAAGGCAGTAGTGCAAACAGACTGTGTCCCGGGTGAGATGAATCCTGCAGGATGTTATTTGCTTTCCTAAGACAACGGGAACCGTACAGTTCTTCCAAAGATGGGAGAGGATGACCAATAATCCTTTGGGCTGTGGTTATGACCAAGGGCTGAATGTCCGCCTTTTTTTTCCTGTAATCCACCACCAATTCCTTGGTCTTAGCCGTATTAAGAGCCAGATTGTTCTCTCCACACCAAACACAGAGCCGCTCCACCTCGTCCCGATAGGCGGACTCATCCCCTCCTGAAATGAGCCCTACCACCGTAGTGTCATCAGCAAACTTGATGATTTTGTTGCTGGAATAGATGGCTGTACAGTCATACGTATAGAGAGCATAGAGCAGGGGACTCAACACACAACCCTGTGGTGAGCCGGTGTTAAGGCTAAGGGCTGTGGACATATGTGACCCTACTCTAACCCTCTGAGAACGTTCTGACAAAAAATCCAAAACCCAGAGACAGGTGGAGTTGGAGAGTCCAATCGCCTCTAGCTTGGACACCAGTCTATGGGGGAGGATAGTGTTAAAAGCAGAGCTAAAATCCACAAACAGCAGCCTCTCGTGGGAAGTGCCCTATTGCTTCTAACAATACCTGGCTGTTAACAGTGCACTTCAGCTTCTGGAGTTAACAGCATCATCATTGACAAGCTTTGCTCATGCTTTCCAAACATGGATCATGGTTTTATTTCTGAGTAACGGTGTGTGGCTGTATGGCTATCCCCTTGTATGGATATTTAGCTTGAGTGATCTGGCAACTGTAAAGTTTCTTACTTGCTTTGGCACATGTGCAGCTCTTCTGGAATTCTTTGTCTTGCCTTTGATGGTAAGGAATGCACTTTTCTTAAGGCAGTTGACAACATGGTCCTACTTAAATTCCACATGGCATCCCTGAGGGAAGTTAGTTCAATGAAAAAGGATCCATGATGTAGATAAAGCTGCCATTTAGCTGTAGGTGATACTTCCCTCTTTATAATATTTGTGAGAGTAAACACCTGAAATTCAGTGAAAGATGACAAATAATGAATATTGTGAATGTCTGAAAACTCAGAGGTATCAGTAGATGTAACAAATAATCTACATGTTGCTATCAGTCACTAAAAGTGATGAATCAGAAATCTGGTTTCAATGTTCCCAAAATTTGGCACTGTGAATGTTCACCAAATTTGGAACATTAAGGTTCCAGTCCAATAATTTTACACCCTCACTGTCTGGGAGGCAGTAATACGCACTGAAATCAGTGGGGCTTACTTTTGAAAGAGGCATAGGATTGTTCTGTAAGGCTGCAGTCCTTTGCACGCATGCAGAGTATAATTTCTTTCTGACGTAACGTGTTTAGTAGGATTATGCTGCTGTAGTATTTACATATTAGTCCTACAGCATGTTTATCCAGAATTAAAACTTAATTATTTTTGTTATATTTCTGCTAAATAAGTCCACATCCTTAGAGTAGTTTCACATATCTTAAAAAATGGTAATGTTGGCAATAGAGGATGTGCAGCTGAACTGTCTGTTCACTCCCCACAGTTCCCATCTAACAACTAAAAAGGGCACTTACACACCTCTCGTTACCTGCTATGGGCACCCCATGGGCATCTCACCATGGGAGAAATGTACAAGTTGCCCATTTATTTCTTGCTAATTGCCTCCTGCAATATTCAAAGTTACCCCTAAGCTCCCAAATTAAATTAACTGTAAATTAAGGGGGTTTCCATCTATCTGTCTTAGTAAACCATGCTTAGGAGGCAGATCATGCCATATAACTATTATAGGGCTTAGCCACAACTGAGCATTATTTAGCCAGTAATCCACTCCCCATCCCATTTGAATTAGACTCAAGTAGTCCACCCCACATATACCTGAATTTGTGCATAGAAATTTATTAAACAACAACAATAAATAAGAAATACATTAGGAGCAACTTGAGTCTTTCCTGTTCATACTACTAGGCATTCCCTTTTGTGTTTTTCCACACTGGAGAGCCAGTGTGGTGTAGTGGTTAAGAGCGGTAGACTCGTAATCTGTGGAACTGGGTTCGCGTCTCCACTCCTCCACGTGCAGCTGCTGGGTGACCTTGGGCTAGTCACACTTCTTTGAAGTCTCTTAGCCCCACTCACCTCACAGAGTGTTTGTTGTGGGGGAGGAAGGGAAAGGAGAATGTTAGCCGCTTTGAGACTCCTTCGGGTAGTGATAAAGCGGGATATCAAATCCAAACTCCTCCTCTTCTTCTTCTTCTTCTCAGCTTCTCATGTGTTGATTCTATTGGTAATGTTCCAATGGCTTTTAAATGGGTAAAGAAGGCACAGCTTTTCCTACCACAGTGAGATTTGTGTCACATAGCAATTCTGAACCAAGAAAAAAATATGTGGTCAACTCCTAATACAGTCCTAGTCTATGTAGTTTGTGTCTTGGACCATTGAATATTTAGAATTGATGACTCTAAATTAAAAACTGACAGAGAATGCATGCTTTTGTAATCCAAAACGAATGCAAGAAGAAAATCTGACACGTCTGATTATTTCTGTGGCATCAAAGACTAAATAATTAACAGATCTTTACACCTGCTATATTAGCATACTGGTGCTTGGGATGCCTTGTGGTGCCATTACCTCAATGTGTTCTTAGGAAACAGATTCCACTAGTGCTGTTGCAATGCTGTGCAAGCATCATAGTTATGCATTGGAACAGTACTGGAAATATCAGTATTATCTCACGAAGTTGTTATTTTATACATACGATTGGCAAGAGAAGCTTTAACTTCCAAAATTTCTTCTGATTCTGATTTACTGTTTGAATCTGGCCATTAACCTGTGCCATCCTTGACGTAATTATGTGCTGAAGGAGGTAGTATGAGACAAACAAACATTTGATGAACTATAAAACTTAGAAGTTTTGCATAATAGTTGTGATCTCTTTAAAATTATGGCAGATTATACTCAGTAGAAAAATACACAAAAGTTGTCTTTCATAAAATGTGTTTTTTCTTGCATTTGATTCTTTTGGGCGCTTTTGTCACTCTGGAGAATACTTCTGCTCCCTGTTATTCATCTTCTTTTCCTCTCTGGTTTGCATCACGTATTTTTGTGTACTGGTTTTTGGCACAGTGTTTGCAGTACTCCTTCCGGTATTGACGGCGGCAGCGGACGTAGCACACCCTCTTCAGTTAGCACTGTTAGCACTATCTGTCCTACCGAATTGAAAGCTGCATCTAAGATGGCCCCCAACATTCCTTTAGAAATGGAACTGCCTGGTGTCAAGATTGTACATGCTCAGTTTAACACACCTATGCAATTGTATTCAGATGACAATATTATGGAAACACTGCAGGGGCAGGTTTCTACAGCACTGGGGGAAGCCACCCCGATAAGGTAATCCAAGCCACAATGTATGGTTAGCTTATTTCTAAGGCATGAATAGTGCTGCCATTATTGTTGCTTCATTAGTCGTTAAGACTTTTAAATATATCTAAACCATGCCAATTTGAAAGTCAGTGTGAAATTCTGAAAGTCAATGCCTATTTAGTCATCAATTTCAGTGGGATAAAGACTGCCACCTTGGTGAAAATGTTCTATGGAAGATGTACAGATGGACAAAATGTAGCCTAAATTGAGAATTATTAGGAGAACCACTGTGTCATGCCAGGGAGATTAAAAATGAAGTTTGGTTAAGTTTCATATAAATGTTTTTAGGTTTGTGAAAATTTTATGCATTCTAACTTATGTTTAAATTAGGGACAAATGCTTGAAAGAAAATATTGTGACTTCCTAGGGAAATGAAGAGTTTTAAGTTTGGTTAAGTTTTTATATAGCTTTATACAATTTGTGTAAATGTTACTTTGATATGGGTATATAGCTCCCCTTATATGTCCAGCTCCTACTTTGTGATAGTTTGACAACTAGAGACTTGATAACAAATCTCAATCTCAGCTTGTAAACAGTCACTGTTTACTCAGCTTGTAAACAGTCACAAGAGTCCCATAATTGATGTCAACAGGAAATGAGACAGTCAGATAAATTGCCCTATATATAAATTACATTTACATTAAAGTATATAGCAATTGTCCTGCTAATCTGCTGGAAATTGGGCATCTCTAAACTTTTAGAATTTTGTGTGCACTCACAAAGTAGCTACATTTTCTGGACAGTGATTCCCTGGGGTGTTCATTAAGTGAACTGACTTTACCCATACTGCACTCCTGGACTAAATGTTTATTTATCATATTACAAGTAGTGGCAAGCATGTAAAAAAAAAGCTTTGAGTTGTTTTTGTTGATGGGGTTCATTTTCACCAAGTATGAACTTGGAAATGCCATATTATTCCCTAGGGGTATTTTGTGTCTAGTAACTAATAGAAGCTTTAACCCTTCTTGTGGGATGCGCCAGTTGCCTATAAGATGATGATTAAAAATCAAGAGTTAAATCTAAAGTGATTAAGCTTTAATTTCCTTTGAAACTGGTAAACTTCATTTTCTGAGCTTTATATTTGTTCTCTGTGTAGATTTTCTTTTGCACATTGCTAGAATGGAACATGATCTGACTTCATTCAGTTCTGTGCCTTCCACTTTTGTTTTAAACAATGCAATTATAGTGAACATTTACTGGTTAACTATCTCATGCAGCTCATTGATTTTTCAGTGACCCAGTACCAGCTGCAGTGCCCCAGTCTGATGTGTATAGGCTGCTACATGATGATCAGCAAGGACCGAGTAAGCCACGTCAGTCCGGTTCCTTTAAGATTCTCCAAGACATGGTCTCTGATGAATCTGGTTAGTTGCCATTTTTGTACGGCATCTCTCTTCACTTACATTGCATTACATGTCTATGATGCAGCCAGGCACGCCACCTCCTAGGGGCAGAGGTTTCTTCGGCCCCCTCAATATATGCTAGCAGAGGGCCAGGCCCCCTCAATATTGAGAGGGCGGAGAAGGCTGAGCACGACACTGTTCAGTGGCTGCCTCCTCCTGAGCTTGAGAAAGGAAGCTGCACGATGCAACTACCTCTCCTATGCTCAGGAGTCAGGCACTAAACTGTGCTGCACTCGGCCTCCTCCCGCTGGTGCAACATTGCACATGCATTGTGTGCCAGGCACATGACATCACTCACACATGATGTATGCCAGCCCCCAATCTTGCACGCAAGACAGCGCCTCTGGATGCAGCCACTTTGCTTAAGCTAAGCAGGTTTTGGGCTTGTTAATTACTTAATAGGAGGCAACTCAGGACATCACTTACACATTGTCAAAAAAGAGGGAAGACATCACCAAAAAAAGGGCACAAGCCTGCATAAAATTTGCGTGCCATGATTAACATATACAGATGTGAATTAAGAAAGAATTACAATAATTTAGCTAGACGTAAGATACTTCTCATTATTGTGGGGAACACTGTGACCAGGTAACCTGTGTGCCTACTCAACCTGTTGATAGGAAACTTCCAAGGTTGCTGTTCTCTCTTCTTACAGAGATGGGAGACTTGGATTGGAGTGCACTTCAAATAAAATATTCCTTTAAAGAGTGAGCTATCCCCTGATAGCCATTCAAATAAAGAACTGTAAAGTAGGCACACATGGAACCTTGAGTTCCATAATGGAAGAAAGGCACTAAATAAAGTAAAGCCTAACTGGAACATGCACAGTGATACCAATATAAAATGTTAACCAAGAGGGTTAAACAAATGCAGACCATGTGTTCACAGTAAAAATGAGAGGGAGATAAAAGTAGCAGCATATATCTATTGCTTAATTAAATGGAATCCTGTAACTTACTGAGCAGTCCCATAACTCAGAAGTAAATCCAATTGTGTTGAATGAGGATTGCCCCCTAGTGTTTATCGGAATGTGCCTAAGGGAGAGAGGCTATAGACATGGCACCTGCAGATAATGAGTAAACTTATTTTTAAAAACAGCTTAAAAATTGAGGAAATGACCAACATTATGCCAGAGAATTTGGACGGTTAAAATAATAATCAAGCTTCATGTGTTTTGTTAGGCAATCCCTTGTTTTCTTTTATTTTGTTTTAATACTAATGAGCAATCTCATCTAGTAACTTTGCAGATGAGAATGTGACACTAAGGGAGTATTTTTAATAATTTTTCTCCTACACCATTTCCTCCGTCTAAATTGCATTTAACCCAAGACACTTAGAAGAAGCCTTGAGGTCTGTCCTGTCCTGTAAACAAAAGTGGCATATTTTTCTTTTTCTCCAGATGGTCGGGCCCCTGCTATAAGGAGTGTGAAAGCACCAGTAACGAAGGTACCTGCTGCTGGGGGAAGTGTGCCAAAGGTGCCCTTGTGTGACAAGTGTGGAAATGGAATTGTGTAAGATATTTTATTTTACTTCTAATTGATTCATGGCATAGGTCTTTGGAAAAGTTCACATCAGTTTGTGGTGGGTGGGCATCTGTGATTTCTCTTTCATGAAGTTAAACAAAATTCAAAGCATTCATACCTCTTTATAGAGCTATTTTTTATTACACATTTTAATGCATTTTGTTTTATTTTGTTGGTGCAGCATATATTTTTAAAAGGTTACATAAGGTTTGGGACAATGCTATAAATAAAGTCTGCATAGCCTGTGTTGCTCTAAAAGAAATGTTGGCGAAGCTTCTTGATTTTACATGCTCTTCTTAGCTCCCACTGAAATTCAACCTCAGCAGGGTGCCTAACAGATGCTGTACAGACTGGCTGTAACAGCATATGATCAGGAGCTGCAGAGGTGAAGGTATCTGAAATTTACTTAGTGGTTTTCATCAGTCAAATTTTGGCTTGCAGGCATCTAGGTATATTTTATTTTTATTTTTTGTTTTTAAGAAACCCGATTTTGTATATTCATAATTGAACTTTAACTTCTTTTATTTTCACCCCCCCCTTTCTTTGATCTACAGTGGCACAGTGGTGAAGGCACGTGATAAGTACAGGCATCCTGAATGTTTCGTGTGCTCTGACTGCAACCTCAACCTGAAGCAGAAAGGCTACTTCTTTGTGGAGGGGCAATTATACTGTGAAGCTCATGCACGAGCTCGTATGAGGCCCCCAGAGGGATATGAAGCCGTCACTGTTTATCCCAAGGCTTAGCTGTCCGGAGAGACACAAATACCTGCATGCTCACATAAGGCACTATCCGCTTACAGCAGCAATACGACTGAATGCAATCCAGCATTCTGCTTTTTAAAACAGGGAGGGAGACAGGATGGAGAAGTTGGGAGAAGGATGATCATTCTTGTAGCCCATGTTGGTATCTATGGGATTATTTCCCAAAATATTATCACTATGGCTGCCAGTGTAATCCAATGAGTTATAAATCTGACATGCTATATTAAGATCCTTTGCAAATTGAGTTCATGTATAATACTATGAGTAATCTACAGTGAGAGAACCATACTGTATTTTTAAAATGTACCTCTGTTTCTCTGTACAAGTGCAATTAAATGGCTTTTTTAAAAAAGACATGTTCTGCAGCAGCATTTACTCCCCAGGTGTTTGTTACCTTCATATCCAGTGGAAGTGGGAAGACACATTCAGGAATATAATGTCTGAAGAAATATGACTTGTGGTGGTAGAAGCAGTGGTGGCAAATATCACAAGTTTTTAAAGGGAAGTGAAATAGAGGCAGATATCTCAAATTAGCAGTTGTTGTATCTGCATAGGGAAAAATAACTTCAACCTCATACATTTTTGGAAGAAAACTCTGTGATAAAATAAGTTTAAGCTCGTGCCTAGAGAAGTCAAGTGCAAGACTGTTGACAGGTGATGGCTAGTATGAAAATGGAATATATACCTTAATGTTAAGACTGTAGCCTACTTTATCTCCCTAAGGCATTGTTATTGCAATGTTCTGATGTAACCTATATCTTACCTGAAGGAAAAACATCAGTCCTCAAACCCTTTCTAAACCTCCTAATCCAGGCCCCCATCTAGCCTCTGGCTCTATCCCCAGGCCACATCCCCCACCTGAAAATATGCCCCTTCTCTGGGAGACACCAAAATGATTTTTGCTGGGGAAAGAGTAGTGGTTGGGAGTACATTGAAAACAAATACATGAGAAGAGATTGCAAATGTACTTGTGAATTGAGTTCTCAGAGGAAAGGAAAGAGCTGGAGAATAAAGCTATCAGAGGGCACGATGCATATCGTTTTCCCAACAGAGACACAAGTAGCATAAGATATGTGAACCATGTTTGGTTGTGTGCCAGAGGTTTCTGCCAGCACATGACACTTACTGTGGGGTCATTCAACAAGTTAAATACAGGGGAAGAGATTAACTCTGGCGAGTTACCTTACAAGGACAGATGTTTGCTCTTCCCAATAATAAAAAATCTACATTGTCAGTATGGCAATCCTCACAAAGAGAGCCCACACAGATGACCAAACTATCCTAGGGTACCTTGGTTATCTGTATCAACCTGCAGTGGAGTTCCAGGGCCCCAAAGGCAACAACAATGGCTTAGTATATTTTGAAGTCAGTTAAGTAAAACATTATCATCTATGGAGGCCTCCCTGCCTTAAATCCAAAGTCTAAAATGACTAAATTGTACAACTGTCAACCTGCCAATTGCAGTGGTCAACTGAAAAGTTGCTGCTTTCTGGGCCAAGCTGTGTCCATCAGTTCCCTTATGCTATGTGTGGGGGAAAATAAAAGCACAGTTGCCACAGCAACTAATAAATTTCCTAAGACAGGCCCTACCATGTCAAGGTACCATTTATTCAGCTGGAGGCTTAAGCGGTAGGGAGTGCACATAGAAACATAAGAAACTGCCTTATATTAAGTCAGACCATCAATCCATCTAGCTCAGTATTGTCTACACTGACTGGCAGCAGCTCACCAGGGTTTCAACCAGGGACCTTTCCCAGCCCTATCTGAAGATGGCTTGGGGTTCATCCTGGAACCTTCTGTAAGCAAAACAAGTTATAAAATTTGCTTTCACCCATGGGTTACAGGAGGGATTGGTCTCACTGTGAACACAGAAAATCTTCCTTCTCCAATGAAATAGATATTGAGCCTGCAGTTCTTTCATTGTCACGAAACACTGACATATAAGACTCAAATCCTGCTATATTAAAATAAATGAGACAGAATCTTTTTGTTCTCTGTAAGAATCTACTGAAATGGAAAGGAGAAGTGTTGCTGCTGCTACCACACGACAATGGTGACATCATGCCAGGTCTAATTTTATATGCTAGTCAAAACCATTATAACAAACAAAGGTACTTGCAAAACCACAATGCAGAGTAAACTTTTAAATATAGCAGTAACATATACGCTGTTGTATAATATTGTTGGGATCGAGCCCAGTTGGTTGGACTTCTCAGCTGCTGTGGAACAGGTGTAGGAAGGGTTTGCTAACCGTGTTCTAAATGCTAGAACTATTTGGAGACCCTTAATAGTGGGGCTACATTACAATATTTCCTGTAGTTTAAGAGACCTGAACTCAAAATAACCAAGAAATAGTGTCCCTGGTTTTCAGATCTTTATAATTTTAGGAACTCTCTAACCTCCCCCTCAACTTTGGTTTCCTTTTTTTGAAGTTTTCAAACAGATAAAACTTTATTATTATTATTATTATTATTATTATTATTATTAGTGCTATTTTTATCGGAAAAAAGGTGCCGGAACTCACCATGAACTTCTCCCTCGTTCTCTTATAATGGCAATGGCACCCACCTGAGAGGTGCCAGATCTGAGTTCCATCGAGTTCTGACTAAAAAAAAAAAAAGCCATTATTATTATTATTACATACTGGTTTACTGGCTGGCAGAATTTCAATCTGATTCTATTCTACGGATTCTTCTATACTTATTGCAGTAATGTTTCAATCTGGGATTTCTTATTTTGCATAGTGCCACCAGCCTTGAGAAGGCTTGGATCTTAAAAGGCAAAATAAAACAAGAACAAGAACCACCTTTTCGAACAAATGACTCTGACACAATTAACCTACCTTTTAGGAACTCATAATACTGTGTGTCCCTCCCCCCTGGGTGCTCAGGTGCTTTGCTCTACAACTCCCCAGGTGACAAAATCCGTTTAACGAACATCTAAAATGACGGTTATTCCAACTTTTCGAATCTACCTCAGAATTTACCTCAGAATCCTGCAGTGGTAGCGCGCGGCCTCCAGGGGGCGTAGCGAAACGACGCGTGACGTAGAGGACGCTGCACAAGCAACCTTCCCTCGCGCGCGCGCCCCCCCCCCGTCTCTATGGAAACACGTTCCTTAGCAACCCCAGGTAGCCGAGTGGCGGTTAGAAAGCCTGAGAGCCTCAGTTTGAATGGGACTAGGATCGTGCGGGCGCACGCGAGGAGGAATGATGAGAGCCGGTGTTGGCTATAGTGAGTCAGGCGGGAGCGGGGAGGGGTTAAAAGTTAGCCGGGCGGGCGGGGAAAGCTTCCGGCAGGAGACATCTATATTAACAGTATTAACGCAAACTGCGTTGCAGGAACCCAGGAGTGCGGCAGGACGAGCGCCCCCAATTTCGGGAGGCTGAGGGAGGAAGAGAAAGGCTCTCCCGTGGGGCGCCAAGACGCCTCAGCTGCAGGTGAGCCGACTCCTCTCACCTGGACGTCGACAGGCCTATGATGACACTTTTATTATTGTTGTTGAAAATGCTGCCCTGTCCTCCTCCCTGGTTGGTGTAGGGATGCTGCGATGGGCAATGATGTAATTTCCTGCAACAGCACAGCGCCGTGGTGGGTTATTGTGCCCACCCTCTGTGAGATGTTTCCCTGCACCCTTCCTCCATCATAATGTGAAAATAACAGTTTTTTAAAAAATCATTACTAACAGACTTCAGCACCCGAATGCGCCCTTGCACCTCTCTCCCCAAACTACTTACTCTAGCAGTAACCAGCGGTAAAGTACTTCATTTCCACAGCTGTCCCCAACCTCCAGAACTAAGGTGCCACTGAGTGCCAATTTTCTTTTTCCTGTGGTCAGCAGGGCAATGTCACTTATTTATTTATGGGATTTGTACCCCTGCACTTTAGTTTAAAACAGTGTCTCCCAAATGTGGGTCTCCAGCAGTTTGGGGGCTACAATTCCCATCATCCCTGGCCACGGGTCCTGCTAGCTATAGGGATGATGGGAGTTGTGGTGCAAAAAACCAGCTGGAGATCCAAGTTTGGGAAACACTGGTTTAAAAGGCTGTTGGAGGAGCTTACCAAAATCAGTACTAAGATGGCCCACAAAGATATGACACATGGGGAGAAATGAATGGGAGGGAGGGAGGGCTGTCGGTTTCACCCTCCATGGGCAAAAGCCAATTGGGGGAGGAGGGTTTAAGTCAGCCACAGCAACAAAGGCTAAACTGGCGGGAGAACACATCTTCTTTGACCCTGTTGAATACTATTACACAAAAGCAACAAGCTGTGCACCATAAATGATTCCTTATGGCTGTGGAACATTTGACATATAAAGACATGGACTCAGTTGAGAGAATCATAGAACTGTAGAATTACAAGCCCCTGCACAGCAAGAATCTTTTTGCCGAACGTGGGGCTGGAACCCACAACCCTGAGATTAAGAGTCTCATGCTCTACTGCCTGAGCTATCCAGTGGCAGGTCTGTTCATATATTTTTCTCTATTTCTCAGGAATAAAATATTCTGGAATATCTTCTAGTATCAACCAGATTATACGATGGCAAATTTACTGCTGGATATAGTGTTTCAAACAGGCTTAGGACCTTTAATATGTAAATTTCCAAGCCTTAGAAATTATGACTTTTATGGAGGTAACAAAAAAGTAACTTATATTTGTTCCCACTTTGGCATGAATACTGAATATGCTTACTAAGAACGAAAGAGGCACATAAAAATACAGAATGTCAGAAGGAACAAGTGTAAATATGCATTAAGATGTTCTTGATTTAGGGAACACACTCTTGGTATAGGTCAGGGGTAGTGATTACGTAGTCTTCCAAAAGCTGTTGAGCTCCTACCATTGCTGACCACTGACCATGCTAGCTGGGGCTGATGGGGTTGGAGTCCAATAGCATCTCAAGGGTCATAGATTCTCCACTCCTGGTCAAAGTACTAAAGTTTAAAGCCTCCAGACATTCCAACATTATATTCTTCAGGGCTTATTGCACTGATTTTTCAGATAAATCTGCTTCAGGAAGAGATGGGCAAGTCCAGCCACCATCAGCATTAAAAGTAAGTTTATCTGTTTTGGATTTTGGGTGGCTGGCTGAGGGATAATATCCTTGCTAAAATACATACATAATGGCTAGAAGAGAAGGTGGTTCAGTATGGATTTTAACCTTACTAAAGTTCTTTAGGCTGTTCCCTTGTTCTTACATAATATGTTGTTAGGATTGTCCAGCCTGTGCTCCTGCAGCTGTCTACCAGCTCCATCAGGTACACCAGCTGGGACCCTACTTGCCTGCACACTGGATTACCATAATTTTACATGCTCTGGTTACCTCCCGCTTGAACTACTACAATGCACTCTACATGGGGTTACCTTTGAAGGTGACTCAGAAACTATAACTAATCCAGAATGCGGCTGCCACACTGGTGACTGGGAGTAGCCGCCTGGACCATATAACATCAGTCCTAAAAGATCTACATTGGCTCCCAGTACATTTCTGAGCATAATTAAAAGTATTGGTGCTAACTTTTAAAGCCCTAAATGGCTTTGGCCCTGTATACCTCAAGGAGTGTCTCTACCCCCATTGTTCAGTCTGGACACTGAGATCCAGCTCCAAGGGCCTTCTGGGGGTTCCCTCATTGCAAGGTTACAGGGAACCAGGCAGAGGGCCTTCTCAGTAGTGGTGCCCGCCCTGTGGAACATCCTCCCATCAGATGTCAAGGAATTAAATATTTATCTGACTTTTCGAAGACATCTGAAGGCAGCCCTGTACAGGTAGGTTTTTAATGTTTGCGTTTCTTTAAGATAAAGAGAGAACAGGGGCTTGCCTCATTATCCTGAAACATTTGGATAACCCGATCCAAAGATAAGACTTTTCTTTTGGCAGCAATGTTGTGAACATAGTACAGAATTCAACATGTACAGTACAGATATCAAATATACCTAGATCAACTGTTTTCAAAACTGTACATGGCCTAAAGAGAGATCACTGTCTAACAGAGCAATCAAATTCCTTCTCTGTCCAGTTCAGCCAGCCAGCAAAGAGGAGTCCCACCAGCAGGAGTCAGTGGAAAAACTCAAAATGTGTTCTGGGGGCAGAGCTGAGCTGGCATGGGATCCATAGGATTCTGAGCAGGTCTCAGTACTGTTGTGAAGTGGCATGAGACCTGATCTGGGCCTGATGGCTGCGCCAGCTTGGAGTTAGATCAGTGATCAGGCCTGGATTTGGCTCTGCCATTGTGCCCTGCCATACCTTCAACAATTTCCTCCTGCTACAATGGTATGCAGTTTATATCTGGTAAGATAATAAATAGCAAGTAAAGATCACAATCTAGGCATAGGAAGAAAAAGTGCAGACTATTGCAGAATATGTCTAATTAATTAATTTTACAATATAGATCTTACAACAGCAGTTGGATTCATTTCAAGCCCTTCGACAACAAACTTTGCAGAATGTCAGCATGGTAAGACCAAGCCCTAAACAAGGTTTAATTCCTCATTCAATACACAACCTTTCTAAAGGCCTCTAATATTCGCATGTTGCTTTTACATGTCAACTTTTTCTTGTTATTCTCCTGCTCTGGATCACCTCATCCTCTCAAAATTCCTTGCATGATCATCTGCCACTTGGTTCCCCAATTCCAGATAGTAGATAAATTGCAGCTGACTGGCTATTGGACACTTTGTATAAATGCCTGTGGTGAAGAAGGCTATTTCAAGTGTCAAATCACCTTCCCTTTACTTTTTCCAACAATTCCCATTCCTACAAGATATGGTTATACGTATATATCAAAGTTCTGATAAACTTTGGGGTTTTCCCATTGTGGAAGCAAGAAGGGACTGGTCATGCTTGCCCACAATATATGCATATATAAATATTATTGTTGTTTTTTTCCAGAGGTAAATAGTATAGCCAGAGATACCATGGTTTGCTATCCAGCAACACATCTGATAATCAGTAATACTAAATATTTAAATTCTGCAAATGCTGTAGGGTTGGGTGGTGGTAAGTCCCACTGAACGCAGTGGAACTTACTTCTGAGTAAGTGACATGCGTACATTTGTACTCAAGTATTTTTAAGAATAAAAATAAGTTGCTACCAGGCTTAAAACGTGGGTGTGGTTCTCTCAATATTAGCGGGCTAATACAATTCCCATCATCCTTGACTATTGGCCATGCTTCTTGGGGATGATACAAGCTGGAGTCCAACAATGTCTTGAGGGCCAAACCTTCCACCTCTGCCTTTAAACCAATATAAACAGGATGAAAGCAGGATAAGGATAACTATCTCACTTCCTGTTTCTTCAGGTTCAGTCTGAAATCAACCATATACTTAATAAAAATATAACTGATATGAAGAGCCCAGAATTTATTCCAGACAATTTACTTTTGACCAGCTCGCCTATCAACACTACTATGGTATGTGGGGTTGTTTTGCTTTGTTTTGTTTTGCTGACAATAATTATATAATGGCATTTTACGGTTCAAAGGAACTAATCCCTCAGCTGAATTTACCATCATTGCTGATCCAGAGAGCAGTCCATGTAATATGCACCACAGTGCTCCATAAAGTAGGGAGCAGGTGTACTGCCACTTAGGATATAATTCTCCTTGACTTTGTGATAATATTGGACATAAATGCCCCAGTTTCCTGAGGTCAGGAGCTAGAGTCAGGCGTAGGTCAGCAATAAAACAAAAACATGGTAGCTCTTTATTCAAAGAAACCAAACAGCACAGGCCTAGTGATCCCAGTAGGTCTTGCCCCAATGAAACAGTTGCAAGGACTGAAGGTCCCCACCTTCCCACCACACTCTATGGCTCCTTCTCTCCAGGGTCTGTCCCAAGCGGTCGCAAACTGCATCTGTGCACAACCCAATTCCTTGTTGAATCACTCTTTGCTTTTCCCTACTATTAATGATTTTTAAAATGCCTTAAAAGCTAGATAGTGTACAATGATTATATTCAAACAAACCAACCCTGCCCACAGCCCTACCATCTTAAAAACAAGCACCCACACACAAGAACTCAAGATGGAAAGGAGAGGAGAAGGGACACAAAAGGAAAGGGAGGCAGTAACTAGAGGTCATAAATTGGGGAGAACTAGCATACTTTCAAATGCTGTTCAGACAGTTGCAAAGAGAGAAAGGTGCAGATGTCAGGAGGCAGTGATTCTGTGGAATAAAATCTGTATCAAAACCTATATTCCCTTTTGAAAATAGCCACTCTATGCAACTCATTGGTGGTTCCTAGCTATGTTTCCTCGGTTGTTAAATACTGAAGGCCTTCTGATCTGACTGTCATCCCTTTCTCCGTCTCTCAGCCAAGAGGGCATCAAGAAGCGCTTCCGTTGAAGAAAAAAATTCATCTTGGTAACAGACCAGGTGCCAGTAATTGTCTACAAACCAATTTCAACACTGTATTTGGAAAGCCGGTCACAGGTGAACGCATTCCAGATCAGGTTCTATCAAAATATATAACAGTTGAAAACCATGCCCCAACGTGTAGAAATAAAGGTATTCTGCCTTGGAATACTGACCAAATATTGAAGAGGTCTGCCAACAACTTTTCCTCCCCATCTTTTGTTGGTTTGGAAGCAGAAGAGAGGACTCTTCGAAGGGAGAAGAAAAATCAGGATGAACCTAAAGTGTGTGTGGCATTCCGTAAGTATGAGGAGGAAGAAGAGGAGTCCTTGACTGAGAGTGTGAGTTCTTCTTTCAAGGATACGAAAGAGGACGGCAAACAGACATGTAAGCATGAACTATTTACTTTTGAACTTCAAAACTCTCCTAATGTTATGAGTGGTAAAGACAATGATTCTGGTTATCTGTCAGAACAGGATCTAATAGAAAAGGGAATGTCATATGAGGATTTTAAACCTAGGGGGATTTCAGAACTAGAGGATTCCGATGAGTTGCATATTAAAGAAAATATTGCACAAGCAGCATATGATAGAAAGCGGCAGATGAATTTCCTGTCCAAATACAGACCAACAAAGATAGACCAACCAAGGCAGCAGCTTAGCACAAACCAAGAGCTCAGAAAGCACCAGGAATTCTGTGGTGCTGTGTCTGATGAATATGCTAAAAAAGTCAGATGGTTAGAGACATCTGACAGAGAATCTCAACATGTCTGTAATAAGGTGATGAGCCATGAAGATGAAAATGAATCGAAACCTCTTACTGACGTTATACAGTCTCTGACAGAGCAAAATTCAAAATATCAGAAGCAAATCAAGGATTTGCATGATGAGAAGAATAGCCTTCAAGAAAGGCTAGTTAAATCTGAAGAAGATTGCAAGGAATGCCTGAAAGAAGTGAAAAGACTACTGAAGAAATGCAAGGAGTTTCAACAGCAAAAGTCAGCTCTGGAAGAAAAGCAGGAGCAGCTTTATTCTGAGAATCAACGTATGATGTCTGAGATAAATGATTTACAACAGAAAGACCAGAAAACACAGGAAACTTTGGCTTTTTCCACACATGAAAAAAGCGATCTGATTGTGTCCTTAAAAAATTTGGAAAAAACAAGTTTCAACCCTTCAAGAAGAAAATAAGAAGCTAGGCGGGGAAGTACTTCAGCTAACAGACAACAAGGGCTTGTTAGAAAAGGTGGTTGGAGAAAACCAGAATGAAATGCAACAACTGAAGATAAATGAGAAAACAACACTATCGAATCTGGAGGCTCTTATTAGGATGACACAGTCGCTTAAAGATGAAAAACAGAGTCTTGAAAAGGCATTGCAGGAGGTGCTCACTGTGAAAGAAGTCCTGCAGAAGGGGCTTGAAGAGGCCCAGTCAGGCAGAACTAATACTGAGGAAAAACTTCTGATGGAACGCAAAAGTACAAAAATAGAAATTGGAGTTTTGAAAACTAACTTGTCAAACATGGAACGAGAGTGTGAGAGGATGAGAATGGTAGTAGCAGACATGACAGACGAAAACCACGTTCTTAAAAAGGAGCTGAATGCATATAAACAGGAGGCTTCTGACTGCAGAAATAAAACAAGGCTACTGAGCGAGCAGCTCCTGCTGATGGAAAATGAAATACGCTCTACAGAGAACGAGAGAGATGTGTTGCAGTTTGAAGCGCGCCGTCTCCAAAAGAATAATGCTAGCCTCAGGGACCAAGTTACGGCTTTGGTCGATCAACAATTTAAGCAAAGGCATAATGCCAGAAGCCAAAAGCAAAACGACCAATTTGCAGATCCCAGTGAAATCTGTGAAGAAATATCTAGCTATCAGCATATTTCTTTAATACATAACTCACCAGGTATGTTTTGCTTTCTGATATGTAAAATTCAACTCAGTTCTAAGTCTTTATTATTCTGAGGAAAATGACAGTTGGTATCATCCTTAGGGTTAATGTAAAATAAAGGAATAAATGCTTAGATTAAAAACAACAAGAAATCACTGGCAATGCCTGAAATCTTAGGGAGCAATTCATCAGGCCTTTCCCCTCCCTCTCAGGCAAGACCCTTGGACATGTGCAAGCCAGTCATTTCTTGAAGTGCACCCAGGTATATAACTCATATAGTCATTAGTGGTCCCCCTTCTCAATATGCCCTTGGCCCAGAAGTATTACAGACCTGAGCATGAGGTCTGGACACAGCTGGACTTGTGGGGGGGAAATATCGTACACTCAATCTATAGATATTTTCAGCCACAACCAGTACTGAGAGAAGTTGCTAGGTATAGCTGATTTTTAAAACACATTTGATTTTGTCTGTGTTACATATAAAAAAATTCAATGAATTCAGCTTTTTATAAATTTATAGTTCTGGTAAGAAAATAGTTTTTAAAGTGACCTTTTCTCTGAAATGTGTGTAGAATATGATCCTGACTAATGCTTTTTACTCATTTATGTCATAAACAAACTGGGAGAAATTTATTTAATGTTGATAAGGAGCTGATCATAAGAATTATTAGCTTTGATTGCTTTTGGAATTGGTTTAAACTAACCTACCATCAGTGAAATATAAACATTAGCTTCAGTGACTTATTTGACTGATTCCTGAGACATCATGGTTATATAGGTTTGTAGATACCACAGTCTCCAACAGTGAATTGCTCAGGGGGTTTTTTCTTAAAGAAAGCTGTCTTTTTTTCCAGGCAGTTCCAGACAAACTCCAACAATCTGTCCTTCAAAGAAAGCATAATAAAATTTTCTTCTTTGAAACCTGTTTTTAAACTCTCCTATCCATTTACTACCATTTCCCCTTAAGTCTTTGAATAAAAAATTGGGATGATGTTTTACAGGTAACCAATGATAATGAAGTTTTACATCTCTTTTTTCACATATCGTTGCCTAATCCAGTATAGTATATACATACCTGATGGCTAAACAAGCAATAATGTAGCCTGATGAACTAGCAGAAGCTACAGAATTATAACATCAAGTTCTAACAATACCTGGAAACAAAACCACCACACTGAGACAACTATATAGGGAAGAGTGCATTAGTCAAATATGTTTCATATCCTACAGGCATCAAAGTAGTTTGTATTGCTTCCAAAGAGCAGGCCATATGAGAAGATAAAAATACTTCCTTATGACATTAAATCCTGTTAGCTCAATCCAGTTATCATTGTAAATTTTGGTTGCAGCTATGCACAATATACGCACATTTTAAAATGCTTTACACCACAAGCCTATGCCTGCCTGCTCAGAAGTAAGATGAAATGTATGTAAAACACAATCTTAAATATTTCTATATGAACGCCATAGTGAAGTTGCACTAATACAGTGGTACCTCTGGTTGCGAACGGGATCCATTCTGGAGGCCCGTTCGCAACATAAAAACAGAGCAACCCGCAGTGGAGTGTCTGCACATGCGCGGGTTGTGATTCGCCGCTTCTGCACATGCGCGAGCGGCAAAACCCGCAAGTAACCCTTTCCGGTACTTCCGGGTCGCCACAGGACATAACCTGAAAGAACATAACATGAAGCGGACATGAGGTATGACTGTATTGACTTACTGAATTAATAATTTCTAGGACGACCTGTTTCCCTCCAAATGTTGTGAATTTCCAACAGCTCCCAGCCATTATGGTCAACGGTCAATGGTCAGTGAAGATGGGAGCTATAGTTCACAACATCTAGAGGGCACCATGTTGATTTCCTTTGCTCTCGGATGATCCCACTGTCATGGTCAGACCACTTCCTGGTGAAAAGTACCAACTTACCCCTTTAGCACTGGGAAACCTGTTAGAATGGCTCGCATCTGGAGACTTGAGTCCAATGGATTCTTGAATGCTCTGGGAGATATTCTGGTGGATAGAAATGGTGATCTTGAGAAGGCCCTTGTCTCACTAAGGGCACTAAGATGCAGAGGACCAGAGATATGATTGCTCCTGAGTGCCCTCTCTGACAATGTGGAGCATATTTGGCTTCCTGGTAAACTGGGGAACTACATGCAGTGAAACAGGCTGGGTGATTGCCAGAAAGCAGGTGACGGAAATACTACTGCAAAGACGACTGAACATGCATTAAGAGCACATAACCATGCTTGCTGCATGGCAGTGAAAGCAGCAAAGGCAACCTATTTTGCTGCTTCCACTGTGTCCTCAAGAAATTAGCCAGCAGAACTCTTCAGGGTGGGCCAAGACTGTTAACACCTATAGCGGTGGATGAGGCTCAAGATACCTACCTCGGATACCTACCTCATTTTACCAACTTCAGTTGCTAAGATAACTGGCTATTCCTGGATCAGGATAGCTTGCACACAGTTGTGCATGCACCAGTAACCTCATGGCTTGATTACTGCAATGTGCTCTTTGCAGGGCTGTCCTTGGGGTTGGTCTGGAATCTGCAGCTGCTGCAGCCTGCCAAGACTAGGTTGCTTGCAGGATTTGTACTGGCTGCCGATATGCTACTGGCCTACATTCAAAGAGTTGGTTCTAACATATAAGGCCTTATAAAGTTTAGGACTAGCTTGCTTGAGAGATCGCCTTAGCCCTTATATACCCAGTAGATCACTGTGGTCTGTTGGCAAATTTCTTCTGTAAATTCCAAAGATCTCAGAAGCCTGCTCAGATCAGGGCTTTGAGTGTGTTCATCTCACTATGACAGGCCTCCACCTGCACTTTCTGGAAACAATTGAAGACATTTTTGTTCCGATAGGCTTCCCCAACTGGATAAATGGATCTTTTCTGTGAATGTCTGTTTAGTAGTTTTAGCTTTGTTTAAAATGTATGCTTCTTGAGAGTTTTTATTAGTTTTTGCTGTTTTTATTGTACATCACCTTGAGATTATTCTGTAGATTAATAATGATCACAGACTCATTGAAGGGACCCCAAAGGTAATCTAGTGTAACCCGTTGCAATACAGGATGGCTATATTGTTAGCAATAATACAGCCAGGGTCTATATTTTTCTGCTACATATATTTCTATAGTCTATGAAGCATGGTTTACAACCCAGCATGTTCCTTTGACAGCTGTAGTCAGATTTTGAAAATTTGCAAATCTTTGGCCTGTTCTTTGTGTTTCTTTTTGATTTGTTGGCCACACCTTCAGGTTTGGCCAACCTTATATGCATATATAGTATAATTGGTACTGAAGCTGAAGCAAATCCAAACCACTGGTGTCTAGGACTTTCTACATAGTTACACCAAGCATTTGATATGCTATTTTTTCCATAGAATGGCACATCAACCAAATATATGCAGTTACTCTCAGTGGCACCAGTCTCTTCAATAGACCTGCTGCTATGTGGAGTCCATATAAATTATTTTACCACACATTCTGTTCAGACTGAATAATGCCACATCTGTGCAAATAGTGTCCATGCCATGGGGTCATAAACATACCCACTGCAAAATACAGAGATACTATTTCAGACAGACTGCTGAAACAGCCTCTGCATTATTTACATACACACAAAAAGGCTGTAAAAGTTTATGAGTGACTGAATATTAATGTTACTTCAGTAGAAAGAGTGATAGCTTGTAAAAAATTCATACCCTTTGGTGTCTGCCCATAAGAATTAATATGTGAACCCATTACACCTCTTCTGACACAATGCAGCAATTTCATTTTTATGCAATGGTGCATATATCTGTATTCTGACAATTGCATTATATTGCAGATAAGCAATCAATTCGTGTCTGTATTTGCAAATCTTGGGGAGGGTGGATTTATGTCTGTCATAAAAGTATAAGAGCATGAATATTTTAGTGCCTTTTTGTTTACAATGTGAATTCTAATTTCATTCATTTGCTTTTTGAAAATTGAATTAATATCTTGATGGTGTCAGAACACATCTAAAACAAGCTTCCCTCCAATTATAATTATACCTAATGCAATTTCCTGTGCTCTGTGCACACAGGATTGGGCATCACCTTCCCAACTCCAATGCAAGAGCACAAGTAAGTCCCTATGTAGCACAGGTGGTTCCCCCTGCCTACTGCCATGGCATTAAAGTGAGGTGTGACAGTGACAGCATCCTCTAGTCCCTTCACAGAACATTCAGAGTCTTCCAGATCTTTAGGGGTTACAGTGGGTGGCAACAATCTCACTGTAGGGTTCAAAGGTAGGGACTTTCACGCCAAGTAAATTGGAGCCAAACAGCTCTGTTCCATCCTTTTGTAACTGAAATGGAGCAAGCCTCTGCTTAGGTAGATTAACAGACTTAGGCAATTTAGTTGCTCTGTATTTATGAATATAGAGAAAAACCCACACACAAAAATCAGACAAGAAGAAAGCTTTCAGTTGTGGTTACAAGTACTGCAATAATCAGGATGATTGTTCCACATTTAAATGTGAAACAGATTAAGTATATAAACTTGCTTGTGTGTGGCACTTACCATGTTCTCCTTTACTGGAAGATGATAGCTGTTGCTGAAATATCTCTTTCCTAGACATCTACTATCTCCACAGAACATTCCTATACACTAAGGGCATAGGTCAAGGTTTAAAAGGTCTTGCAAAGGCAGGGATGTTGTCTGTCAACAGATTACACCCTCTGTCCTCATCTTTGGCAGAATCACTGAGCTCCTGTAAGGCTAACTTTTGAGTACATTGAGCGCCCCACTAACTCACCTAGGAAGAAGAGAAGGTTAAACTACCCTGTCTCTCTCAAGACTGCATACTATATTATTTGTTCCTAAACATCTAAGGGAGAGAGATATACTTATCAAACAGGGAAGGAAAGTTTGTTTTACGTCCTATCAGCTGTGGGAATTCCACTGCAAATAATTAAGTTGGTTAGTTCATTAGATCTTAAAGCTATCTTGTCTTCTTTCCTAACATTTCCAATTTGGTAGAGTGTGGAAAGATTTCTGAAATCCGAAAGAAACTGGAAGAGGAGGAACTCTATACAGAAAAGAAGCGCAACACCACCAAGAAGCTCTACAGTGCTTTTTCAGTCAGCTGCACCACATCCGTCATAAAAGAGTCGGGTTTTCCAACTGCTGTGCGGAAGAAATATAGCACTATTTGCTCTGCTACTTAGTGCTTTAAGGGTTCTGCCCACAGAAGTTAAGCACTACTCTATTTTCCAATGGTTGTGCCTGAGAAGCATAACAAAGAGCAGAGCAATCAGAAATCTAAGTACTATGAAAGAAACTAACAAGGTTGTAGATGAGAAAGAGATTTGAGCTGCACACACATAATACATATTTATGGTTACTTTTATACTATTCCCATTCGTTTCAGCTGGAGCTTTTTCCTCAAAGAATGAAACACCTGACAATGTTTTGAATGATATTTTATGCTATTTCAATTCTAAGAAAGGAGGTAATCATCTGAGCTTTGTCATAATTGTTCACTGAATATAAAAGGAGGCAAACTGGAAATAAAGACAATTTCTGGTGAAATGTAAAACTTGAGTATTGTACCCAAACCAGTCTTCATTTAAAAATCTTTGCATTTAAAACACTAGAAAGAGTTTTATTATTGCTGTGCTTTATATCAGTGTTTCTTTGGACACTATTTGTAGTGGTAGAGAAAAACAAAACTAAAGTAGAAGTTAAGGGTACCTTGCAGGAAACCATAATACAGTGGTGCCCCGCGAGACGAACGCCTCGTAAGACGGAAAACCCGCTAGACGAAAGGGTTTTCCGTTTTGGAGGCGCTTCGCAAAACGAATTTCCCTATGGGCTTCCTTCGCAAGACGAAAGCCCATAGGGAAATCTCCGGGACAGCAGGGAAGCGCAGCACGTCTTCCCCACTGTCCTCGGACCTCCTCCGAAGGCTGGCAGCGGGCGGAGAGACCTCCTCCCGCCGCCAGCCTTCGTTTCTCCGCTATCCCGGACGGCTTTTGAAGGCAGGCGGGGGGGAGCAAAGACTTTCGCCCCCCGCCGGCCTTCAGAAGAGGTCCAGGACCTCTTCTGAAGGCCGGCGGGGGGCGAAAGTCTTTGCTCCCCCCTGCCTGCCTTCCCGGGAGAGCGGAGAAACACAGCGTGTTTCTCCGCTGTCCCGGACGGCTTTTGAAGGCAGGCGGGGGGGAGCAAAGATTTTCGCCCCCCGCCCGCCTTCAGAAGAGGTCCTGGACCTCTTCTGAAGGCTGGCGGGGGGCAAAACTCTTTGTCCCCCCTGCCTGCCTTCCCGGGGGCTTTTAAATCGCCCCGGGACAGCGGAGAAGTCCCCCGCTGTCCCAGGGCTTTTTAAAATGCTGGCGGGCGGCAGCGGAGGCTTCGCTTCCGCCCGCCAGCATTTTAAGATCGCCCCGGACAGCGGAGAAGTCCCCCGCTGTCCCGGGGTTTTTTTAAAATGCTGGGGGTGGGAAGAAAAGCCCTTGGTCCCCCCCCCAGCCTTCAGAAGAGGTCGGGGGACAGACTGTCCCCGGACCTGGTCTGAAGTCTGTTTCCATAGGAACGCATTAATTGATTTTCAATGCATTCCTATGGGAAACCGTGCTTCGCAAGACGAAAAACTCGCAAGAAGAAAAGACTTGCGGAACGAATTAATTTCGTCTTGCGAGGCACCACTGTACTAGGTCATCCCATTAAGGACGTCTTAGCTAATTATTCATATGAGTTATTGAACATAATAAAAGAGGCAAACACTTTTTTTTAGATCATGCATTTAGAAAATGGACTACTTAGAAAATTCATTTCCTCTTCTCTTTTTCATAGGAACAAATGCTCCTTCTAAGATAGTGTCTGCCGTTTATAGTTCTTCCAGTAAACCAATAATGTTTTTAAATAATAATAATAATAACCCTGCTACGCAGAATAGCATCAAAATCATATTTTAAAGTTGACCAAAAGCATTTTAAACGGATCTGTTGTTTAATCCCCCACTGCATTCCTATCAAAGCAATAATAGCATTGTGTCTAGATTATGGTTACCAGATTTTCCCGGGGACAGACCCCGGATTTACAAATCCATCCCCGGACAAAATCTGTCCCCGGAATGTCCCTGGATTTCATTTAATGTCCCCGGATTTATATTTTAAGTGTTGTAGATTTATTAGTAGAGAATGAATGTTGCATGATTGGTTCAACGGCACAAGACACATCATATAGGGACTTCTGGCAAGGCAAAATGGCAGGCGCCACAGCAGCGAGCAGCTCCTGAAGACAGCCTGAGCCAACTGCACTACCAGACTGGCTCTGGGCTGCTGAGACTGCTTTCTCCACCGCCGCCACTGTCAAGGGGGAACCGGGGACGCCCGGCGCATCAACGGGGAACCGCTCACACACACACACACACACCATGACCCAAATTGAACTGGGAGCAAGAGCACCCGCCCGACTGCCCAGCAGCGCTCCGGGGCCAGGAAAACCTCAGAGCCAACGCAGGGAGAAGGGGGAGAGGAGGAGGAGAAGGAAGAGAAAAAGAGGAAGGAGGAAGAAAGAGAGGAGCCCTGACCTTGCCACACCGCTGCCACCGCTGAGGAACAGAGGTAGGAGAGCACCGGGAGTACAAGGACACGTCGCCGAGCCTACTCCACAGTGGCTAGCGCTTCAAGAGAGCAGGCCAGGGCCCAGAGGAAGGCCGCGTGACAGAGGAGACCACAGAAGAGAAGATATTACTTCTTAATTTTCTTTAAAAATAACTTTTTAATAACTTTTCTCTTTTTTTAAAAAAAGTGCCACTGGATTCTTTGAAAAAAAATTGGTAACCTTAGTCTAGATTGGAATAGGGGGGTAAGGAAGAGAGATCTGCAGACTTTAAAGGTTCACCATGATAGCAAAAGAAAGGAGGAAATGGAACACTTGGAATAGTCTCTCACCATGGAGCTTTTGGAGTTGCAACCATGGGAAAGAGGCTTTGGGGATCTGGATTCCCAGATATTCCTTAAATCTTCAACTTTAATTTTAGAAACTCTTAATTTTTTTGGGAAAATATGAGAACGTGATATCCAGTGTTAGACACACTCAGAGTAGACCCACTAAAATCAATTAACTTGTGTCCATTGTTTTCAATTGGCCTACTCTGAGAATGACTCACAATGGATATCACCCTTTGTCTCACAGCACAGAACCAGCCCTTATCTGCATGCCTATACTCTAGATTCCATTCTTGTAGCCATACGAGAGTGTTTGGGAACCCAACGAAATAGCTTTTAGTAGATCAATATCTATTAACTAGGACCAGACTAGATGTCCATAACAAGATTTTGTAAATGGTTGGACATAAGCTTGAGGTTCATCAAGTGCAAGTATTTATTTTTGCTAGTGCTACATACAATCAAAATAACATTTATACCAAAATATACTTCACATTTTATAACATTATTTGTAAATATATTATCTATTTCTTTATATATATAAAGAATATATTCATAAAACATCGTCATGTGTGGTAAACAGTTTTGGCAAAGGATAGCCATATTTGACATATTTCCCACATTTTTTTATTTGCTTCAGACACCCTTGAGCTGTTAAAATGCTACTGTTTGCAGTATCTAAAAAGTTCATTCACCTTGCTTTGGTGCAGCTAATATGACATCACTTGCGGATTCGTGTAGTTGGTTGCATTTAATGATCTGAAATTCAAATTTGAAAGAAAAGTGTCAGAGCATTTGTGACATTTTGCTAAGATAAATAGCCATTTCTTCACCCTGGCTTTCCCACATAAGCTCTTCATTGTCAAACAAGATCTTAACGCATCAAACTAGAGCTTATACAGTAGACAGTAACATATTCTATTCTTCATTTTAAAACCTATGGTGTTTTTAAAAATAATAATACTAATAATATAGAGTATTATGCAACTTTTGATATAATACTATTTTCCCATAGTTGGTGAAATTGTCTTAAACAATGAACCTCTCCATAGCTGCATTCCAGGCCACTGAAATAAGCCCTGGATTAGAGGTGAATGGATGGATAGATAGATAGGAAGGAAGGAAGGAAGGAAGGAAGGAAGCTTTACAGTTTCAGCCAGTTGCATAATGCTAACAATACCTTCCTTTCACTTACATTTATCTGTTGAGAAGGTAAACTGGCAACCTGCACATTCCTCCACCCCACCTAAAAAGGGTCTTCATATTCCTTGCAGTACTAGAGGCACAAATTCATTAGATTTGTATCCCACTTTTTAAGGCCTATATGGAAGTTGATCTCCAAAACACATGAAGTGGCATATCTGGCAAACAGACCTAATGGAATCATCGTAACCACTCTTCATATTACAGCCACTATTTTTAAAATCAGTTTAAATCAAGCCATATTTTATGAAGCAAATAATTAATGTGCAGGCATCTGGTGATGCCTTCCAATTGTTAGGATTCTATGACTCCTGGGAGCCAGATAGAAATCTAGAGGGGTGCATTCAGCTTTAGGAAATTGAGACTCCCCATTCCTGATCTAGAACATAAGGAGAGAAAATAGATCAAAGTGCCCATGAGTATGTTTGAAGTATTATTACCCACAGCAATGAGTAAGTAGTAAGAAAATTCCCACAAATAAGAAGAATGGATTCCAGACCAGAGAATGTTGTTGAAATATACTCGGAGTTGAGAGTGGATTTCATGCTCTTTATTCAGCTCATAGTGGTGAGGAGGAATGGAAGTTCCCCCAGAATGTCTACTTTATATACATTATTTACACAATGGGCCCCATGTGATAGGCTAATTCCAAGATTCTACTGTAGGCCAATCAGGTTGCGAAGTCACTTCCACCTGGAGCTGGATTGGGTGGCTCCTGTGGACCAATCAGACTGCTGCATTCTGGGTCCTATTGTTCTAGGACCAATCAGACTGCTGCATTCTGAATCCTATTGTTCTAGGACCAACTAAAACAGACTGCTGCATTTTGGATCCTATTCAACTCAGTACGTAAGAGTTATGTTCCGACAGAAGGAAGCCAGTGGTGGAAGAAGCCTCTTGGACACCTGGGGCGGTGCGCCCAGGGGTGGGCAAACTACCCATAGGGGCGGGGGGCAGCGTGCCACACACTGCCCATGGGGACAAGCAGAGGTGGAGCTTGTGGCGGCAGCGTGCATCCCGGGGGGGGGGTGCTTAGTGGCAGAGAGCTTCCCAGGGGGGTGCGCCGCGGCAGAGAGCGTCCCAGGGGTGCCGCCCGCGACGATGTCACCCCCCCCTCAAGGATGACACCCGAGGTGGGCCACCCCCACTGCCCCCACCTTGCTCCGCCTCTCAAAGAAGCCGCAGCAAAACTTATCGCGAACATTAAGTAATAAAAGGTATGTCATACTTACTTTTCAACATTTAATGACATAATACTTCTTACTGGTCTGCTCTTCGGTCCAGGAGAAGGATGAAATACCCGCCCTTGTTTATTGGTTGTGACAGGCTTTGCCTGTTTAACGATGTAAGGGTCTACGGAATGGGTTGGATAAGGATCAAATGTGCCTGCTTTCATGCCCCCAGGCTGGAAAGCAAGGATAAAGAATTTTGATAAGTTGGTAACAAAAA